GCATGATCTCGGCTCACTGCAACCTCTGCCTCCGGAATTCAAGAGATTCTCATGCCTCAGCCTCCTGAGTAGACTGCAGGTGCACGCCATTACATCCGGCTAATTTTTGTATTATTAGTAGAGATGGGTTTCACTGTGTTGGCCAGGCTGGTGTTAAACTCATGACCTCGGATGACCCACCCGCCTCGGCCTCCCAAAGTACTGGAATTACAGGTGTGAGCCACCATGGCCAGCCAAAAAAGTAGAGTTTTTTTTTTTTTTTTTTAAGTCATGGTGTTTTATGCAATAACAACTTTTTGGTTGACTTCTAAGACCCAAATCTAGGTTTTTTTGGTGCATACAGAGTAATTTTTAACCATAAGGGTTTTTATCTAAAGCTCATGAACCCTTCAGAAAAGACTCTCAAACCCTAGTGTACAGAAAATTCACTTGGGACACTTGCTCAAAAGTAACCCAGAAATTTGCATTTTTAATAATACAGAAGGTCCTGAACCATACAGCTCTATGAGAGCCAAAGATGGACCTCAAGTGGTTCTGTTCAGCCTTCACACTGTGACTACATGAATTGTATTCAATGAGAAGGTCTAGGAGGCTTTACAAGACTTTCCGTAGCTTCTTAAAGGGGTCTGCAAAAATACTATGATAATGTTAGAAGCAGCGGTTTACAAGTGGAAGAGGGTACCGTAAAATCATCCACACAACCAGCAACAAGAACCCACAATGAAAGGAAAATCTATAAAGCAGATATAAACACTCAAGTTGTGGAGGAATCCAGAGCAGTGTCCCCCATGCAACTGTTTTTGAGAGTATCTCAGGAGTAGATATGTACTGATTAACTTGTGTTCATTGATCAAAAAGGTTTGAGAAACACTAAGTTTAGAAAGTTTTTACTTTATTATGGAAGTAAATAGAGACTTTAATATGCTAATTCGCTTTCTGAATTACTTTAAGGAGAATTCAGTATGTAGTATTTCCCAAGCTTATTTGTTCACAGAATACTTTTCAAATGATTATCAGTTTGAGAAATGCCCTTTAGCAGAGGGAACAAACATTAGTCTCTGAGTGTAGCATAGAAATAAGTAACTTTCATTATAACTCTGTCATGAAGGAAAATTTAAATTGTTTTAAATACACTAAATAAAGCAGACTATTTTATATTGCATTTTAGAAGAATTCTTATTAAAATTATATATAAAGAAAAACCCTCAACTATCTAGTTATTACTTACGTGGACTTACTCATTTCTAGGTAATGGGAAATTAAAGATTTCTCTAAAATGAAAATTTAATTTTATCTTGATACTATTTTGGGGATTTAGGAGAAATTTATATTTCCTAAGAATCATAGAGCTCATCTTATAGCCAAACAATAGTTATTATGTCAGATATTTTACAACAATTGTTGGCAGCAGGCCAAACAGGGTTGCCTGTGTATAAACATGTATGTCCAAAACTTTAAAGCATGATAGTTCCATAGTGTTTTAAATAAATAAATAAAGGCCAGGTTGGCTTACCGGGGGAAGGAGAACTCCTGGATTGATTGTAGCCAAATAAACTTTTCAGAAGGGTGCCTGTAATCCTAGATACTCAGGAGGCTGAGACAGGAGAATCATTTGAACCCTGGAGGTAGAGGTTGCAGCAGACTGAGATGGAGCCACTTTTTTTTTTTTGAGACAGGGTCCCACTCTGTCATCAAGATTGGAGTGCAGTGGCACAATCTCGGCATACTGCAGCCTTGACTTCCCAGGCTCAGGTGATCCTCCTGCCTCTGCCTCCTAAGTAGCTGGAGCTATAGGCTTGCACCACCATGCCCAGCTAATTTTTGTTTGTTTGCTTGTTTTGGTATTTTTTGTAGAGATGGGGTTTGCCATGTTGCCCAGGCTGGCAAATAATGTTTTCTGGAGAAGTGACTTAGAGGGAAGGAGCAAACAAATAATATTGAAAAACATGGAAAGGAGATTAATTTAGCAAAGGAGAAGGTCAAGGAATCTCTGCTGGGAGAAACTCCTTCCTTATTTGGTTAACAATGAAGAGTGTAAGGGACAGAGAAACAAATGCTTAAGCAGGTAGAAATCATGAGCTAAGGTGTGATGATTAGGACACTAGTCCTATGAGATACTGTGAGGTAAAATAAGTCAAATAAGTTTGGGAAATGCTACTTCATCCTTTGTGTTTAATTTTGCTTTAATTGGCCTTTCGCAAATGAATTCATCACAGAATTATTTCCCCATAAATTAAGAAGCCGTACAATACCCCTTGGGAGAACACTGAGCTGATAGTAATAGGAAATAAAGACTACTAATTAATGGGCCTGTACCATAATCATTGGTTCTTTGGGACAAAAAAATGATTAGAATTAGGTCATATATTTTATTCTATCCTCTTGCATTATTAAGTTATAAAGATTCACTGAATTAAAAAAGGATTTCCTTTTCACTATTGTTTTATTCCTAGAGCACAAGATTCTTCTAAATCCAGGTCATAAAAGTAAGACCTCTTTATATAGAATCCTCAGACCTCGCGTAATCGTCAACAAGTAGCAGTCTTGTATAATTTTGACTCTTAAAGTATTTTAAGGCGCTTCTTTGCTTACTTTATAAACATTCACAAGACTTCCAATTTGGAATTGAGCCAGATAAACACTTCTTAAATATGCTGAATTTCTAGTCAAACTATTGAGTGTCCTTTCCTAATAAAGAATTAGGAAGGATTCTTAAAGCCTTTTAAAAATTTGGTTTATAAACATTTTAGTTGCAAAAGGAAATTTAAGGTTTAGAAGATTAAACTAGCCACTGATCTACATGAGCAAAGCTTAAGAGAAATCAAACAGACCAAATGGGAATCAAGCACCAACTAAATAAAACATAATATATTTATTCTCTTTTCACTTTGGGGCATACTATTTCTGACAAAGCCTTAGTTGTATTTGCTGCCTATACTTACGTGTGTTCTCTAGCATGCCTGTAGAAGAACAGTACACGTCAGTTAGATTTTCATGTATATGGGGCTAGTGTCAGAGATGAAACAGAGTTTTTGTATCTACTTGCAGATTTTTATAAGCCTTTTTACTATTTCAGAACAGTACTAAATTTTATAGTCTAAGTTGGTAGACAGCTCTTTCTCATATTACCTGTGAAGATACCGTGACATTTTTGGTCCTTAGGGAAAGACTATTATAGGACTACAGGTTTGATGCTAACATTTTAAAGTTTCACTGAAGTGAAGTAGATTAGCCATAAAATTGTTAGATTTCTGGAATCTTCCTTCTACATCCATGTGATGAAAGTAATCTTTTTCTTCCCCATTGAATTGCCAGACCCTATACAATTTTTGAATAGCACTTGTATTTTGTCTCCAAAGGCAATTTATGTTAAGTTTGTAGGAGTTTACAAATTTTCCAATTTATAATTAAGCTTCAAGATATTTATTAAATATACGTTTTAAGAAATGGCACTAATAAAGAAAGGTTTCTTTTAAATACTTTAAAACTCGGTCAAAAAAACCATTTAGTGATATAATCTAAAGTGAAAGCAGCAAATTGGAGTTAAAAACATGAAATAAATGAATTGTTCTCCATACTGTTAGAGAGTATAAAGTAATTTTACTATCATAATAAAATGATAGTATGACTTTACTAGTAGCATAATTAGAAGAGGACAAAAAAACTCCTTTAATTTGTATTGTTCTTATGCAAATAATAGATATCACAATTATTTTGACAAAGTTATTTTTAAACATGACTTCATGAATTACATAGTCTAGATTCAATAGCTAACTTAATTTGATTTTTGTTTTGTTTTGTTTTTGAGACGGAGTCTTGCTCTGTTGCCCAGGCGGAGTGCAGGGGCGCAATCGGCTCACTGCAACTTCCGCCTTCGGGTTCAACCGATTCTCCTGCCTCAGTCTCTGAGTAGCTGGGATTACAGGCTCAAGACACCACGCTTGGCTATATTTAGTAGTTTTAGTAGAGATGAGGTTTCACCATGTTGGTCAGGCTGGTCTCAAACTCCCGATCTCCTGATCCACCCACCTCAGCCTCCCAAAGTGCAGAGATTAAGACATGAGCCACCGCGTCCGCCTTAATTTGCTTTTTTTAAATGATAGGAACAAAACATATAAGGTCTTAAAGAATATATCTTTCATTTGTAAAATGTTTATTTTAATTTCAGATTTACAAAAAAGTTGCCAGGATAATACAAAGAATTCCCAAGTTTCCTTTACATTCGGATTTCCCAATGTTAATATTTGACCACACTTCCACTTTTGCTTTCCCTCTTTCTTTGCAAAATTTTATTTTTTCTTGAATTAAAAATAGTCTGCAGACACTCTTACATGTTTCAGTACTTCCTAAAAACAAAGAAATTCTCTTTCATAACCACAATAGTTATGTAAATCAAGAAATTAAGTCATACAATAATAGCATTTGATAATAGACTTGAGAATTGACGTAATATATTTCACCAAGTTATCCCAACAATGTCTTTTATAGCAAAATAAAATGCTGATTGTGTATTAATTTCAATTGTACTTAATGTCTATTTAGACTTCTTTAGACTAGGTCATTTCCTGGCCTTTGTGCTTCCCTCACATGACACTTCTGAAAAGTACAGACCAGGTATTTTGTTGAATGTCTCTCAATTTGGGTTTGTGTGGTATCTCCTTGTCATTAGATTCAAGTTATGCTAGACTAAGGAAAAAAAAAAGCAGAATTGCGTAAGATGTGATTTTACAACAAATCCAATTTCTTTCCATTTATAACTCTGAGAATCAATCTAATAATTTAATTGCCAAATTTGCCTCAAACAGAGTATTCATCTCCATCTTCCCAGAAGAAAAGATACTCCTAGGAGATTTTATATGTGTTTCTTAATGAACTAACTTGTATTAATTATGGAGGATCCAGTTAGTTTTTAAATGGTTTATGGAATCACATAGATCGCTCTGATATTTACTAAGAAGATAAATAAAATGCATGACAATATTGATCTTTTCTTTTCACAGTTACCCCTGAATGCCCACAAAAAGGAAGAAAGTTCTCTCTCCCCTTAGACAAAGTTGAATTCTTATCAGAGCTCATAAAATCCTTTATGAAACTGGAAAAATGTGTTCAAGAATTGTTTGAAGAACTACTTTTATCACTCAAGATACCCAGGAAGTGTTCAGGTAATATCCTCTTTTGTTTAAATTTGTAAATCTATAATTTCTCTGTGTTTTTGCTTCCTGATACTTTGAATGAAAATGATTACTTGAAAAAAAAACACATGAAAGAATTCTTTAAAGAAGCAGTCAGCGTAATGCACACCATGCATTATATATAAAAATGCACACATTTTTATCCTTCATGCTTGGCAAGCTCCTTATTTCCAATTGACAAAGCATCATACATCAATTCTGGATAATTTTTAGGTAAAATTAGATCACTTTTTCTTTTCACAGAAACACGATTAGTCTATGGAAAGAATAAGCAGACCGTATGGTCAAATATCTCTTCTTTCACTCCTAGTAGCCAGATGATCTTGAGCAGAACATTTAATCTCCTTAGACCTGAATTTTCTCATCTTTAAAATAATGACGTAGGACTATATTAAGTTATTCTTTGTTTTCTTTTAGGATTAGATGCTTGCAATTTAATATATTATAATGTTATATAGGGTTGTGAGAATTAAATGACAGTGAAAATAAAATATCTAAAGGAATGTCTAGTATGTCATAAATGATCAATAAATGTGAGTTGTTAAAATAGTAATTATAATTATGGAATATATTGTTTTTAGTTTACTCTTAACAAAATCCCTTTGAAAAAAGCCATGCCATATATACTGAATAATATTTCTAACATTAAAGGTAAAATTCAAAGGTACAATGGGTAAGGTGTGTTCTCTGTTGTCATATCTATATTCATAAAAATTTTCATTTTTCTCAGAGTGAGATGGACAAAGTTCTCCTTTGCATGATACCTATGCCATTCTAAGGAGTGTAACTATATATATTTGCTGTATCTGCAAAACAAAGTGAAGGAAGCAAATGACTAATAATTAGCCTAAAATTTTAATCCCCAAAACTGATCTCTTGGTAAAATTGCTTTAATTCAATTTGTTTATTCTTGTATTCCGTTACACATTCTGCCCATGTAAATAATGTCAGAAAAGTTATAGGGTTGGATTTTGTTTTACATTAAGCATAGTTTATTGGCCTTCTTTGTTTCAGGCAAAATTTAGGTAACACTAATATATTATAAAATTAATAGCATAGATTACTTTTTTAAATTTGGAGATAATTCGAAGAAAAAATAAAGATGGACTATATATTTCTGAAGCCAACCAAAGGAAAAAAAAAAGCCATGGGGAAAATAATAAAAATACAAGGCAGAAAATACAAGTATTAATTAAAACAGAGAATGAAAAAGTAGATTTAATTAGGAGAGAATGTGAACCTTAAAGCATCTTTTAGATAGAGTTTGACTGTGAAGTCAGAGATCTGAATAGAGAAATACAGTGTCCTAATTATTGATTGACATATTGGTTCCTAGAACAGTTGGCACTGGAGTTGGTACTCATCCACCATGCCTGGCTAAGATTTGTCATCTCTCATCTATATGTCTAACAGATCTTTTCTAAGGCATGAATCAGGAAACAGAGTGAACTCCAAAGCATCTAGGCTTCTACCCATTTTGAATCAACTTGTATTAGTCCCAGGCTAGACCCTTGGGAATTAAGTCAGTTTTGTGAACTTTATTCTTCTTAAAGGCAGCATAAATTCAAAATTAGAATTGTGTTAGGAGGTATTATAAAGATATAAACCCCAAAATGGCCAAGAATCGAAGCACAGATTTGGCATGCTGATTTTAGAGAAAAGGAGAAAAATTTTGAAAAAGGTGATTCAACTCCATTAGATGAGGATCAGGCAATGTGGAGACTTGACAAATGCTGTATATTTGAGAGCAATGATTACCATTCTTGAATAAAGTCAACAGAGCAAATATATAATTTGCCACAATATACTGTTGCAAATGTGTCGTAAGCAGCAAGGCAGATAAAAACAACTTCAATATCATGTTAATAATAATGGACTATATGAACACATTTGTGGATTATCAAACACAGGATGTAGAAGGAATTTCAATGGGCAAGTCTAAGAAGTGTCTAAGTACTAGAACGTCTCCTTGTGCTATATGTAGTCTTCATTGTTGAAATTCATATTTTTTTATTGCAAAGCCAAGATAGATTTAATCTGACACAACTTTACGTAAATGGATTCCTGAGAAGAATGATCTTGAGGGAAATTGTCAAGAAAAATCTTAAATGTTTTATTCAGTGTATCCAAGTTAATCAATTCTTATCAGAGGCATTGGTTTCTTAAATCAGGAGGAAAAGACTCCTTGAAATAGATGATTAAAGAAGCCAAATGTATCTTAACTATTGGGTATTCCTGATAGTTAATGTTTTTTTTAGAAATCTTGTAAGAAGAGAATGGGGGGAAAATAGCAAGGAAGTCTTTTGTTTTCTTGTGTGTTTCTTTTGATTGGAGCATATTTTGCTAATAAAGATCTTGGAAAGAGTTGCCAATGATGTCTATGTAACCCAAACATATGAGCAGATGAAAAGTGAGGGTTTTTTTTTCATTGTGCAGATTTTTTAAAAATGTCCAGACACTTAACATCACATAGAGAAAATATAAAGATGATTAACTAAATATTTGACTTTTTACTTTGATGTTTACTATTATATTGTAGACTTAGCCAAATTAGCCATTCTCTCAGTAATTTGAATGTGGACAAGAGATTTTGTAGAGATACAATAAATATTTTCTGAGAAAGAAAAAAATATTTAGTCATTATTTGCTTTTGTTTGGTCATGATTTGATGGTTTTCTATTTTTGTCACTTCAGAAAATGATAGGACATTATTTGACTGTTGTGGTGCCTTACTGTATTAGGTGATGATATCTTATGGAGTGGCCATGGATTTGATTTATGGGGCATTTCTAATGCTTCTTTGGAATAAAGTTGTTCTTTGGGCAGTTCCTCAATTTTTCCAAAGGTGGCATCTGAGATTTATCTAAACCAGGAGGTTTCTTGGCCCTCATTTTTCTTTAGCCCCAGCAATGACAAAGAGCAATGGCTGCTTCAATTGGATGTAAGAAGAACACTTAGGGTTTGTCTCAGAAGAATCAAAGATTTCAGATCTTCTGAAAGATTGTTTGTACTCTTAGGGGGTCTTAAGAGGGGTCAAATGGCTTCTAAGAGTTCCTTAGCTAGATGGTTAAGGGATTGTATTAGGGAGGCGTATGTAGTTAAGGTAAAGAGGCTCCTAGGGTTTGTAAAGCTCATTACACTAGGACTTTAGCTGTTTCTTGGGCAGAGAGGTCGAAGGCTTCCACATTGGAAATTTGCAAGGTGGCCACCTGGGTTTCTCTTCATACTTTTTCATGGTATTATCTCTTGGATGTAGTCTCTTCTACAGATTCAGCTTTTGGTGGGAGGTTGCTTGTGAGCCAGAAAAAGAACAGTGAAGAAAAGAAAGACTTGTAGTTCCCACTTAGAGCTGCCAACAAGGCAAGTTGCTTTGTAGTGCACACAATGGGAACCTATGAAGACCAATTTGGGTGTGAAAGTGGATGTCACAGGGAAGTACTGCCAACCTCTACTCACTATGAAAGAAAGCGGCAGTGTGGAAACTAACCAGAAGTATAAAATGAACCACAGAGAACTCTGTAGGGGAAGCTGTTGAGCAGCTGGCATTCTTGTGACCCTCTGCACTCTTCTGAGGTTCTTAATCTAGGCATGCTTTTAAAGAAACCAGTATTGACTGCATGCAAATAACTATATTTTACAGTGATGAGCCAAAAGTGGGCTATCTTCTCTAGACAATGATAATAATTGAATAGAATTTTAAATACATTTTAAAAATATGTGAAATAATTCACTAAATGTTTAGAGTTCATAGAGTTTTACATTGCCAAATTTTAAAATTGACCATTTTGAATTCCAAACAAATGTAAAAATGACACAATTTGTTAAATCCAGTAGATTTAGCATAGATTCCATGTTAATAATTCTACCTAAAGAAGATCCCTTTTGTTTCCCTGTACAGCATTAAGTTTTTTAAAACCTTTTTAATTTAGGGAGATGGATTATATTTTAAAGGCTATCATAATTGCTTGATAATTCATTTTCTGTATCTAGAATTGCTCACCAGCAAGAGAAGTCTTAAGCTTCTTTTTTTCCTTAGTCATCTTGAATATAGGCAGATGGTTTGTATAAACATCTGAGCACATTACTTTGAGTGAATAAACATAATGTATTTGGGAGTGAAATGATAACTACAAGATAATTCACTTTTTCTGTAAGTCTTAAACTATAGCTACACAATAGCAGTTATTTCCAGAAACAGATCTACAAAGGTTATACTTCAATCTAGTGTTATTTTTCCAGAGTAAATGCCTTTTAAATGAGCTATCTACAGAAAAGTAAAGTGACATTAAGAATTCAATTGTTGTCCCTTCTTGTCATTAATAACTTGATCTTTATTATTTTTTCTTTTTTAAAAAACTGAAAACTTTTGAATAGAATGAAAGAGTAACTACTTCATGCATATCTCTACGTTAAAAGTAACTCAAAATCTTGTCATACTATGTAGATGTTCTCTTTTATAACAATTTAGAAAATCTAGAAACACTTCATTATTTCTACTAGAGGAATAGTTTTCCATTGGTGCATATGTCATGATTTAACCCCATGGCCCATGGACAGTTATTCATTGATGGACAGTTAAGGTTTTTTTCCTCTCTTCACTTGCTACCACAAAACATGGTATGGCAAATTTCCTTGAACTATTTCTTATATGTACACAACTATATCTGGAGGGTAAATTTCCAAAGTGGAATTGCTAAATAAGCAGGCATGTTCATAAAGAGGATGAAAAGATAAGCCACAAACTAAGAAAAACTATTTGCAAAACACATATATGATAAAGAACTTGTATTCAGAATATACAAAGAACTCTTAAAATTCAACAAGAAAACAAACAACCCAATTTAAAAATTCATAAAAGATCTGGACACCTCACCAAAGAGGATATATAGATGGCAAATAAGCATATAAAAAGATGCTCAACATCACATCATCAGGAAAATGCAAATTAAAACAAGATGACACTACACACCTATTAGAATGGCTTACAATACCAAATTCTGGCAAGGATGCGGAACAACTCACATTCATTGCTGTTAGGAATGCAAAATGGTACAGGCTTTTTGGAAGACGGTTTGGCAGTATTTTACAAAGCTAAACATAGTTTTATCATACGATCCAGCAAGTGCACTCGTAGGTATTTATCCAAATGAGTTGAAAACTTACGTCCGTACAAAAACCTGCACAGGAATGTTTATGGCAGCTTTATTCATAACCGCCAAAACTTCGAAGCAGCTAAAATGTTCTTCAGTCGGTAAATGTATAAACAAACTGTGGTACATCAATACAATGGAATATTATTCATCAATAAAAAAAAAATGAGATGTCAAGCCATGAAAAGACATGAAGGAACCTTAAATGTGTATCACTAAGTGAAAGAAACCAATGTGAAAAGGCTACATACTGTATGATTCCAACTATATGACATTATGGAAAAAAGAAAACTATAAAGACAGTAAATAGGTGAGTGGGTACCAGGGAGGGGATATGGGAAGGCGGGATGCATAAGTGGTGCTGTGGGGATTTTTAAAGCAAGGAAACTATTCTGTGTGACAGAGTAATGAGGGGTACATGATATTTCACATTTGGCAAAATCCATAGAATTGCAAAACACAAAGAGTGAACCCTAATGTAAACAGTGGACTTAGTTAATAATAATGTTTTTATATTTGTTCATCAGCTGTCACATATATACCATATATTGCAAGATGTTAACAGTAGAGGAAACTGGGGGCAGGGAGGAAGTATATGTGAACTTTCTGCTCAGTTTTTCTGAGCAAAAATCTGAGTTTAAAAAATAAACTATATTAATTTTCAGAAAGTGGACATTTTGAGAAAGATTGGCAAGTCAGTTTGTCATATCCATGTTGACAGTTAATGGTATTTTTATTGTTGCAGATTTTATAGTTTCTGCATTCTGTGTCCTGGAAAGTCTTCTCTATGTGAATCTTTTTTTAAAAAAAATCCATATTTTCTTTTAAGGGGATTACAGTTTCAATTTTCTTTATTTAAAAATCTGTGATTAATCTGGATTTTATTTTAATTAGAAGTGATCCTTATTTATAACACCATCTTCTTGAAAAGACATTATAAAATGCAAGCCATAAAAAAGCATTTTAAGTTAAATGGTGTAACACTGAGTCTAAAACTTTATGTTGTGATGTGTCTTGAGAAATGGAACAGAATTCTTAAGCTGCAGTCCATGGGCCCATGGGGTTAATGAATGAGATTTACAAGAAGGCCTGGGAATCCTTAATTGTGTGTGTGTGTGTGTGTGTGTGTGTGTGTGTGTGATGCATATGTGCCTGCCATACAGTCATACTGTGCATTTTTGTATGCAGTTCTGTCACTTTAATCATGTTCTTAGACGTGTTCACAAATCCAAAGATGATTAAAAAATACTAGAGTTGATGAAAACTTTTCCTCAGAAGATATAAACTCTAATAACATTTCCCAAAATAGTAATGTTATAGCCAACCAAATGGAATTTTTACTTTTAATACACTTTATGCACAAGAAGGTTGAAGTTAATATCAGAACAAAACACTCTTATTTCATCAACTTTATTCCTTAGAAGTCATTCACAATTAAGTTCATAGAGCCACATTTAGGAAAAGAAAACCTGCATCTACTAGATCACTCTATTGGTGAGAATCCCTACTGATAAAGTCAGATTTTGAAATTTGCTTTGCCCAGGTATAAAGAAATTGATTCTTGGGGCTGGGTGCAGTGGCTCACGCCTATAATCCCAGCACTTCGGAAGGCTGAGGTGGGCGGATCACCAGGTCAGGAGATTGAGACCATCCTGGCCAACATGGTGAAACTGTGTCTCTATTAAAAATACAAAAATTAGCTGGGCATGGTGGCACTCACCTTGGGAGGCTGAGGCAGGAGAATTGCTTGAACCCAGGAGGTGGAGGTTGCAGTAAGCAGAGATCAGGCCACTGCACTCAAGCCTGGTGACAGAGCAAGACTCTGTTTCCAAAAAAAAAAAAAAAGAAACAAAGAAATTGATTCTTGATAAATCTTGGGGAAAGAAAAGAAAGTTAGATCACAATATATAATTCATCATCATATACCATGTCTAAGCCAAAAAGGGTAAACATTATTCATATTGAATCAAATTATCATTAATCTAACCTTAATGGAAAAGTAGAAAGATTTCCTTTTTGGAGTATTTATTACATTTTTATAGATCCGTTTTTTCCCATGGAAAATAGATTCTTAATGTAAAAAATAAAAGTTGTGGAAATATTTCCATTTTTGGAGCTAGGGATTATTTTATGCCTCTCAGAGTTTGTTTTTTGAATGAATCATTGATATTCTTAAGGATATAATTTTTCATGTTATGCTGATATTTATCTATGTATTTTTGTTCTCCGTTTGAAGTTAACATGCTAGGAAATACCATTAGTTTTAAAACGTTGTACCTTAGATTCTAACTTTTTAAATGAACAAGGAAATGAATATTTATTTTGTTGTCTTACCTTACATTATCAACATGAAAATAAATTAATGACAAAAAATCTTTACTCTTCAGCTTATATGTTTATATACATCAAACATGAATATAACTGAAATGTCGATTTCATCAAGTTGTATGTAGAAAAGGACACTATCTTGCTTCTGTCATTATTGTAATGATGACATCAGCCTACATCTTTGTGACTATATTCTCTGCATATTGATATTTGTGGATGTGCATTGTATGTATGTACTATGGGTAGAGCTTTCTACATAGTTAATATTTACCTGTAAATTTATGAATCACATCTAGTATGTTTTTAAACAATATATATGTATGTGTTTGTTTTCATTTCTATTGCTTAGGAATTTGGGAGAAATCCAATAGAGAAGTTGTAATAGAAAAACCCAGAGCAAACAAAACTAATATTTCTTCAGAGGAATTGCTACCAGGAAAAGAGGTAAGTGAAGGGAAAACAAGAGCATTTTTTAATTCACATTTAATATCATCATCATATGCCTGTGAATCCATATGAATCAAAATGTCTTGACTTTTACCGTTTGCTACAAAAAAATAATTTTTCAATTTCGGATTGAAAATTGGCTTATGGGTTTTAATGAAAATTCAGTTTAGTGGGGATACTGTCTTCTTGCAAAATCTGTTCCATGGGCGGAATAGAAAGATGGAAGTCAAGATATCTTTGTTCTTATCCTGACTCAGGGTTTCCACTTTGAGGATGTGGGCTATAGATAATTGTTGAAAAGTGAGAAAATGGAGATTATAAAGGAAAAGGAAACAATCATCTCAACTGGCCTCATATTTTTCATACCCATCCTGTGATTGTTCCCAAGGTCTGTTACCATTCCTTGCTCTGCTCTAGATTGTAGAGAATTACACATTCCAGGCCCCCTTGCTTTCTGGATTCTGGGACAGTTTAGCCAGTTAAAGGCATTGATGGAAGACCTGTTGGAAGGCATTGACAGAGTATAGGAGTTGCAGAGAAACCAGAGTGTTTTTTCTCCTCGCTCCGTCTTAAGGAGCATCTCTGATAACGGCTGTGACACCTTTATCTTCACTGTGAGCCCTGATCCCACCATGCAGCTTGCCCTGCCTGACTTCAGTTCCACCTGGCATGTCTGCTTGGGCTTTAGCTTCAACTGGTAGCCCCCAGGAGCTACTCTCCCATAACTTAATCCCTTTTCTTCATTCCTCCAGCCCTAGGGGTGGTTGTGGCCTCCTGCTCTATTAATATCTGTCATACTTCACAGTCCATGTTTGACTTCTCAAATCTTCCATCACATAGGTAACCAAAACCCTGCATTAAAATTCTTCCTTTTGAAAAGTCTTGAGTAATTTCTGTTTTTCAAATGGACCCTGACTGATACACCAGGTAAATATTTAAAGAGGCAAAACAACATATAGTTTTAACAGAGCTTTATCCTAGGAAGCAAGAGAAATAGTCAGGAAGATCCTAAATTATATATTATGCTTTAACCAAAAATCAAAATCAGTACCGTATTAAGAAATTAGCATTAGATAATAGAAAACAGAGATTCAACAGATTATCGATTTTGTGTGTAAAAGAGAAAACTGTGTGATTCTCTTTTTACTTGGATCGACTAGTAAATGTTCTCTAGACTAAATGGAATATGTTTGATGGCAAATGTCAGAAGAGAAGAGTAGAAGTAAGCAAACTATATTTCACAAGAGCAAATAAACTATTGGAGGTTTGAATAAGTAAAGGTTTTCAGTTTTCTCTCTCTTTCTCGCCTCTTTTCTTTCTTTCCTTTTCTTTTCTTTTGTTCTTTTCTTTTCTTTTCTTTCTCTCTTTCACATAGTTTCACTCTATCACCCAAGCTGGAGTGCAGTGGTGCAATCTTGGCTCACTGCAATCTCTGCTTCCCGAGTTCAAGTGATTCTCTTGTCTCAGCCTCCTGAGTACCTGGGATTACAGGTGCCCACCACCACATCCAGCTAATTTTTTATATTTTCAATAGAGACAGGTTTCATCTTGTTGGCAAGGCTGGTCTTGAACTCCAGACCTCAGGTGATCCACCTGCCTCGGCCTCCCAAAGTGCTGGATTATAGGTGTGAGCCACCATGCCTGGCCTTCAGTTTTCTTTTTAAGAGCAGCTGTTAATGTACTTGTTTTTCTATATTTTGAAAAGAGAATTCAGATAGGCCAACATATTATAGTTACATTATCATAGGCAAAGGTAACTTTAACTGCACAAAAATTTTTTCAAAATTCAATGCAGCCATGGCAATTAATGACATTTTCCACCAGGACATATTTACCTGAATGAATAAATGAATAATTTTAGTGAATAGACATGCCCTGATAGGGAAAACAAAAATTAGAATTTTTTAGTTTGAATTTTTATGGAGGTAGTTTTATTTTTACATTTCTTTCATAAATGTGTCCCAAGGAATTACTGTTATAGCACAGGGTTAGAACTATGCCACTTCTAAGTTCTCTTATAAGAAATAAGATTATATCAGTTGAGTAGATTCAATTTTTGATGAATTTTTTTTTGAGACACGGCCTCACTCTGTCACCTAGGCTGGAGTGCAGTGACGTGATCTCAGCTTACTGCAACCTCCGCCTCCTGGGTTCAAGAAATTCTCCTACCTCAGCCCCCCAAGTTGCTGGGACTATAGGCTTGTGCCACCATGCCCAGCTAATCTTTGTATTTTTAGTAGAGACGGGGTTTCACCGTTTTAGCCAGGATTGTCTCGATCTCCTGGTCTGCCCACCTCAGCCTTCCAAAGTGCTGGGATTACAGGCATGAGCCACCGCACCTGGCCCATTTTTGAGAAATTTTATGCAAATATATGACAAGAGAGATGTATTTTAGGCCCTATCATGCTTGAGATCCAAATAGTCTTTAGAAAGATCCATTACAACTTAGTTACGAGCGTAATGAACACAAAAGTCATTTTTTCTGATGACATGAGTGATCAGAGTCATGGAATCACATAATTTTAGCTCTAAAAAATGAATTACCTTTATTACTTTGTACAGATATGTAAAGAGTAAATTATTGCTGAATGGGTTGTACATCTAAGAAAATCAGGCTTATGATTATAATTTCAGTAATTTTAGAATAAAAGGGACCATAGAAATTATACAGTTTTGCTCTGTTGTTTTTTTTTTAGCAAAAAAACCCTCGAGATCAAGAAAAATAAGTCATTCAGTCAGAGACGTAGAGCTCAGGGTTTTCTGAAGTTGAGGTAGGTGGCACGTTAGTATAAACAAAGTTACACTAAAACAGAGCAAGTTCAATTCTAAGCATAGGTTCAGCCTAGTACCCATAATGCTTTTGAACTTTAAAGAATGTTAGGAGTCTTGGAGGAAATATACATTTATGAATATATATACATTTATAAATATATTGCCTTATGAGCCACAGACCAAAGGAAGAAAAGAAAACATCAGCCTGTACCTCAACCCCTTCTACCCCCTTCCAAGTACCACCCCCTGTCACCACAACACAACAGTGCAGATTATTTCAATTCTTCATTCTTAGAACAAAAGTAGTGCTGCTTATGACTTTGCAGCTGGAGGGGCTAAAATTCTAAGCAAGTAAAAATCTAGAAAGTGCAGTGGTGTGTTTTCGCTGATAAATTTATTTCTTATTGCTATTTTTTGGCTTGTCTGGAGTGAAAAGGAAATAAAAGGTTGAATATTAAATGCTGTCTTATGTTGCAATGGTTGTTAACAATAAACTATAAAAAAGACTATAAAAATCTAATTTAGACTTTATTAAATATATTGAATTTAAAGGTTGTTTTATGTGATAAATAGTAAGTGTAGCTTTCTGCTCTTATAAAGATGGCTTTATTGAACTATATTTAAGAGATTAAATTTTTTAAAAAGATTTTATTAAATCTACTGATGAATTAAAATGAAATGTCAGTATATTACTGTGTGTAAAGAATGTACATGTTTTTGTATATTGCTGCATTCACTAGGTAATATTTTTTAGGTTGTAAGAATGGGCTTCTACAATATATCAAAGAATATATTCAACATGTTGAATGAAAGTAATAATTTTATATCTATAACAATAGAAACATTTGTTGCTCAATTAAGATTAACATGACTTCATATGAATTTATATTTCAGGCTACTTTACTAGATTTTGACTGGAGAAGTACATTTAAAGAAGTGTCTCTTCCCATGGCACGCTGCATAATAACTGCAATTGAAAGTTTTTCTGAAAAAATTCTCCAACAGGAACAAAATGAAAGGTCTTCAGCTGTGAGTTATACTATGAACCTTGTAAATGTCCAGCAAGTTTGGCAAGACAGCCATATGTTTCCTGAGGAGGAACGACCAAAGAAAATTGGAAAAGCAAGTATATGAAATCTTTTCAAACTGCTGACTGGCATGATGGGATTTATTTTAGTATACTAGTGTAGTAGATCAAATGGAGTCCCTTGGCAAATAGTTGGTACTCAACCCAGTACCAGTTTTCTTCAGTGGTATCCACAGGCCACTGCTGCCCAAAAGGACTTACACCTGGTGCTAGCTTGTTGCTCCATGAATCTGAGGCAACAAAAAAGGGGCCTCTGTGACTTCATGGGGAGCTGGGAAACACCGGGAAAACCACCTGTTTTTATTACAACTTTGAATGACTCCAGGAAAATTTAGGAGGTTGAAGGAGTTACTGTCTTTTCTTGGTTTGGGAACTTAAAAAATCTTCATTAACACTTTAATGAGCTTTTCACCTCATTAGTATCAGTCTTACATCTCCATAGGTGTTTTGAAAGTCACAGAACACACTGAGAAAATAGGAGGTAAATATAGTCACTTGGCATTAAACCCAGAATGAGTTCAGCAACCTGTGATTGGGATATTCTTAAAAGAGAATTTTTGAAGATGACCTCCTTATTCTGCCACTGTCACACTAAGGCTCCAGAACATTCCCTAGGGATATCTGTTGACTGATCTGATGTGGAGACAGGCTTTACTTTTCCATTCACCACACCTCCCTTCTGCCATTAAGAAAAAGAAGATACATAATAAATGGCGAAAGGCTAGACTCATCACTTCTAAAAGTTGCTGACACCCTACCAATAAGAGGATGCTACATGATATTGTTTCTGATTCTTCTAGATTATTTAAATTAAACTAACATTTATATGTGGCATATAATTTAAAAAAACCTTTATGGCAATTTAGCAAAAGAAAATTAGAATAAGTTAAAAAATAATGCAAATGTTAATATCAAGGATATATATTTTCTGAGTCCTACTAACTACAGAGAAAGGTATTATCATGTAAAGCTGGCTCATGAGTTTTTCATAATGTCTGTCTGGTAAGTATAAGGTTTGAAGGTTATATGTAGAGAAGCATCATTTTGGTATTTCCTTATTTGACATAAAACATTTAACTTTCTGCAACTGAGAAATCGATTATTACAGAGCTGCATCATTATATTTATGTTTGATGCCAAATTCATTATTTAGGAATTTGGCTCCACTGTCCATAAATTAGTTGGTGCTGTCAGGATACAAATAACTCAGTGCCATATTTATTTCTCCCTAGTTTTGTTCTGACATCACAGAAAAACTTGACACAATGCTCCCACTGGCTCTGGCATGCAGAGATGATTCTTTTCAGGAAATTAGAGCAAACTTGATGGAAACCTGTTGTAAAGTGGCAACAGCTGTCCTGCAGAGACTGCAAGAGAGAGCCAAGGAGGTTCCTTCCAAAGCTCCCCTGAAAAACTTGCACACACTCCTCTCCACAACGGTGTATGTCTTCCAGTACTTCAAGCAATATGATAATTTGATGAAGGAAATTACTAAAAAGTGAGTGTTGTTTAAATTAAGTTGATGGTCACGCTTAAAGAAAGGTGATATCTTTGGATATCACAGGAATGAAATTTTGATAATAAGATTTGAGAAAGAGAAAATAGTCATGAACATGGTGAATTATTTTCATTTGTCTTTAGGAAATATCAAAAAGATGGAGTATGGGATATGTTAAACCAGATAATAGAAAGAAAGGTACTCTCTCTAAATGCACACTCAAAAGAACCCTAGTAACACCCTAATCCAGTGCAACTATTTTCTGTTGTTATTACATGAGTAAATGCATCCTTTCATTTTGTAAAGTGCATTATACTGACCACACTGAAAAGGAGAAATAAACTTCTTGTCTCATGGAACAGACTTAGAAAATAAATGCATTGTAATCTATTTTAATGATCAATGTAAACATATTTCAAGACAGCCATTTAGTGGTGAACTGTAATATTTGAAGAGAAAACATCTGCAGTCTTAATTTTCATGTATTTGTAATCTAAAACTGCAGTATGTTTTCTGAATAGAGATAAAAATGACCACAGGCATTAATTATCACATGGTCTTTCTGGTTGCCCTTACACTCTCTAGATATAGCATGGCTTCTTGCAAAGGAAACATGTGGACTTAGCAGTCCCTTGTGACCCCAAGAATCTATTCTATAATCTTTATCCAGCCTTTATAGCCCATTGGTTATGAAAGAAAACAGTGTAATATTCATAGCTAAAGATAAAAGTAAAATGAATTTGGCTAGGGTGTAACTGTGATATATCTTTAAATTCTTGTAAGTAATCAGATGTTGTGATTCATGCTTGAATTTATAAACAAAATGTGTCAGAAATCATTTTAATATTTCTGTAGAATTTTAAAAAACAGTTTATGAGATAATTGATATCTACAGAATTATAATTTTTAAAAATAATGTGTTTGTGGGACATTTGATAGCTTTATAAAAGTTGGTTCTGACAAGTGCATGTTGTTCTCTAGTAATAACAATAACCTAATGCCTAAATAATGCACTGATCTCTAATAATAGGCTTACAAAGAACACTTTTATTTTTGAATGATGTATTGACAATACAGTTTGTCTCAAATTGAAGTGTGTATTTGTAGAACAGCAGATGTATGTTTTCAAAGGGCTGTGAAACAAAGACCAGCTTTTTTTTTTTTTTCCTTTTTGGAAAGTGAATGTGGATGCAAACTTCAGCATTAAGAGGAAATGAATGATTGATATCTAATAATCAAAACCATTTGTAGTACTGGAGATTGTTATCTCCTACTACACAGGCCTTAAATCTCTGTCTCTTTGATCATTCTCTCTGAACAGACCCATATTCCTGGTGCCTGTCCAACGATATCAGGAATTCATCAACACTCTACAGTTTCAGGTTACGAACTACTGCGTCAGAGTTTGTGCTACAAGCATTTTACAGGATGCTGAGAGCCACCACTGGGACGACTACAAAGCTTTTTATGAGGTGTGAAGTTAAGTTTACTATCCTTCCTTTTTACACAAATATGTTTTACTGCCTACCTGCTTTCTGGCTAATTAGAAACATGAGTTTGGCATTACTAATACATGAAGGCTGTTAGGATAATATTTTTTAAATATTGAATTCATACTTAGGAAAAACACTGTTTTTAAAAACCTGAAACAAATTAGACATCAGAACTCTCCTTCTGCTTAAAAGTAAAAATAACCTCATTTGAGCTGCAATGTTGCAGTGCTATATAAGTTGGAATATAATGGGATACAATGAAAACTCAAAGAGATAAGAATGCCAAAATGCCACAACCTTGTATTTTTTCCAAAAGGACCAGTTAGTTATGGATATCCTTGCATTTTTTCTTGTTATATATTTCCATCTGTGTTTGATAAATACCTTTTATTAAGCAGTTTTATTCTTTATAATTTTTTTCCTTCTCATCGTATGTTCTTATGAGCGTGCTTTAAGACCCATCTGAGGCTAGGCACAGTGGCTCATGCCTGTAATCCTAGTACCTTGGGAGGCTGAGGTCAGCAGATCACTTGAGGTCAGGGCTTTGAGACCAGCCTGGCCAACATGGTGAAACCCCATCCGTAGTAAAAATACAAACAATTAGCTGGGTGTGGTGGTGTATTTCTGTAATTCTAGCTACTCAGGAGGCTGAGGCAGGAGAATTGCTTGAACCCGGGAGACGGTGTTGCAATGAGCTGAGATCCAGCCACTGCACTCCAGCCTGGGCAACAGAGGGAGACTCCATCTCAAAAAAAAAAGACTCATCTGATCATTTATAGCTTACCTATTTTCATTTAGCCTATGTTTTGAAATCCCAGATTTTAGCAAATTGAAGCCTAATGATTCCCAGTGCAACCAAACCCAGGATCAATTAAAATTATTCATCATCAAGCTTCATTGGTTTCCCTTCACCTAAATCTCATTGATTATGCACAGACCACAATATTTGAAATTCCTTGAAGTTGATTCCAGGGCAGAGTGAAACATTTATAATATCTTAGTAATCAGGGTTAAAAAAAAATGCAACAGCCATGCCCAGCTTCATTACCTTTTCCATTTTACCTTTTCCTCTAGATTGAAGTTTATGACTTTCATTTTCTTGATTGTCCTAATCACTATAACATATTGAGAAAGACATAGTGGAGTTTTATTCAACAGAATCACTCCTGTCACTTCGCAGGCACTGAAGGTTCCTGTGGTTTCATTTATGCCTCAGTTATTATCATAATAAATGTTGCTACAACATAGAGGAGCAGCTAATAAGAAGCTCTCTTAAAGAACTTTCCACTTTTTCTAAGAACATTTCATCTCTCCTTTAGAGGCCCTTCCCAGAGAGTTTTTCTTTTTGCAAGAGCATCCATATGGAGTTTTCCAAATCTGACATACTTCAAACAGTCATGGAAAGAGCAAGCAGAATGAGAAAGAGAAAGTGGTGTGGTGCAGCTGGTAACGTGAGATAAGAATGAAAGTATTGGTCTTCCCCTCTCCTGGCAACATCATATTTTCCTTATTTGCCTTGAAGTAAACAGAGTGGTTGAAAATGAATCCGTCTCATGTTTCAAACTATTTCAGTATGTCAGTGTACTACTAATGAGCAATTTTATATGATGTTTTCCATGAAGAACAGGTATCATCTCACTATATGTTCAACACAGGGGTGTTATGTTTCCTCTTATGCAAATTGGGAGCTAGAAGAGTTGTACAGTATAAATAAGTGGATGCATTGAGAACCTGTTATTGAAGTTACCAAGTATTTTAAAAAACCAACAAATTACCATGTAACATGCAGCTCTTAGATCTTATGACAAGGCTTTAGCTTCAAAGACGGAAATAACAAGATAGTTACCCTGTGATTACATGGTACTGTAGCTTCCATATACTTACATGGTCAGTAGTTACAATTTAATTGCAGAGTTAGTGGTTGTTATTTATTCTCAGAAAAATAAAGTGATACTGCTTTTTTATGTATCAAAAATAAGAACCTTCTAAAAATAGCACTGATTTTAAACTGTTTTGACAACTGGAGTACCTGACATGGCTTTATCTTGCCTACTGCACCCCTTTCTTCTCCTCTCCCCATTATTCCAACTGATTTGTGAAACAGAACTATTACATTTTTGGCAGGCCTGCTTTGAGAGGGAAAAAGATGATATCTGCCTGACTGGAGGTGAAGGGTATGATAGAGATCTCAAGGGAACCTATCACCATGTGCAGAGCATAGTAAAGAAATAGTAAAATAATTTACAAGATATGCAGCAATATTTGCTCATGTTTTGTGATAGCAAGTTAGATGCAGATACATTATTTCCATTTTCTAAACTGTCAGGTTGAGAGAGTTAAGGAGTTCTGTATCTCTCTGATGAGGTACTGGTCACGATGGCACAGTGGGTATTCAGATTACATGTTTAAAATTAAGCTTTTAGTATAGTTGACATCTGCTCAGTTTTAGGAACTTGTGTTTTCCAATAGTCAAAGAATAAAGAATTGTCTGTTCAAAAATAATACTGAGTGGCTTCTATAATAAAGCCCAGCTGCTTGTTTCCTGATATATAATCTAAATAAAAACTCACATCTGTTTACATTATAGTGGGTCTGCAAAAATAACAGATGTTTACTAACAGAATACTTTTGAAATGACAACAAATAAGGAAACAGGTCAGAAAAATAAATCAATCACATTTAGTTTAATGAAAACTCTTGCGTACATTGAAGTTGTATGAATTTTAAAAATAATTATTAGAACAAAGACCTATTGAAATATTTTAAGCATGAAGTTTATATTTTAAAAAGTCTTAAAATAAGTATTTTTTACTTTTAAGAGAAGAAATCTGTGTGCCTAAGTTACTTTTATTTCTCATTTATCACTAACTGATAGCTATTAAGGAAGTTTATTCATATTTTGAAGAACATGAGAAATCATTCTGATCATGTTACAATAAGAACCCACACATTGCCATGGGGAAAATTAGTGTAAATCGTTCATATTGGTCACTGTATCAGCTGGGGTCAGTTTCAGTTTAATTTACATGCAACACAAAAAATATGAGAAAATCAAGCATTAAAACTCCTTTCTTAGTTGAAAAAGTATTCATCAAAACACACAACAAAGAAAGCATAAGAAACTGTAACTTTGCTGCTTCAGCATTAGTTTCCCAATGTCTTTTTCTTAGTTTAGATACACATCTAATTAGGAAATCAGAAGCCAGTGGCCAAAGTCCCCACCAGTTTGAACTTGACTCTGACATTTTGATGCCCAAGTTTCTTACCCAAGGAGTACAAATTCTACGCATTTATAAATGCAATATGGAAGTCAGTAGATAATAACTATAAATTATTGTTAAGGTGACTGCAGAAGATATTAGTAATCAAAGAAACTACCGGAAGAGTAATACATAAAGAAAATACTAAAGAGAGTGTCTGCATAAGAAACTATCAACTTTTGACACAACAGAACAGCAGATTTTTTTTTAGATGACATTTTTTTGACAAATACAAATAGTGGACAAAGCAGAATTTTTAAGTAAGAGATAATCACTTGGAATATAAGAGGAAATTTTACTAGTTTAACTTTTGGTATATTAACATAATCAAGATAATGCTTGAGGAATGCATTCTAATCTTCCTATTTCAAATAATCATTTGATCTGATTTGAAGAAAATGAAATGAAACTACAGCATATCTTTCTGAGAGGACGCTTTACCTGATGAATGCTTGTAAATCACTTGAGGCCACCTTCTTTCTGCCTGTTCCCCTTTGCCTTAGCCATTGTTAGCTCTTCCTCTGCAGTCAGAAAATTTGGCACACAGAAGAGATCTGTACTGGGGTGGAAAAGAATGAAAATATGACTCTTTAAAAGTATGAGATGCCATAAAAAAATACTAAGAAATGGTGATAATATGTACCTAGGCTTTAAAGAATCTTGTAAACTCAGATTTTTGTGGTTAGCTGTTTCTAGTATTGTTATTTAAATAACATAGGCAAAATAGCCTAATGTAATAATCTTTGATAGTTACCCATCCCCCTTGGTTTCAAGAATGTTTCTAAGAATGCAGTATCCGAGTTTCTTTTTACTCCTGTCACTTCATTATAATGTGAAATCTGAAACGTTTATAAAATTACGTCAGTGATGCTAATAGGCTCAGAAAAATATACCTACTGAAATGAGTTAAATATATTTTAATTTTAGAAGAATCAGTCCACTGTCTTAAACAAGCTAGCATGACTTTTTCAGCAACTACAAAGCAAGTTGTTTAAAAATAAATTTTAAACCATAGGCTAGGAGTAGGTAAATCAAGGCTTTGCTAGGTTAAATATTTGTGGTCTGGATTTGCACTAGAATATCTAGTCTCATAATTTAAATAAAACATCTGTTCCTTTGTCAATAAGGATGTTTTACATCTTGTCAAAAACCTTTGTTGGTCTGCTAGTGTGTCAGACTCTTTAGCTATTTCCTTTCAGCCTGAACTAATTAGGTTCATAGAAAGCAAATTGACATTTTGGAAGACGGAATTCTATGGTTTAACGTGTGGTGGTTTTGCCAGGGGGAAAGATGTTCGTTCTCGATCCAGATGTGGCATTATTTCTGCTGGGCTCTTCATCATGATCTCTGGACCATTCTGCCTCCTAAGTTAGCCCGGGAGATTCTAGCAGAAGTGCTGGAGAAATCTTTGGGTCTACTTGCCTCCAGATATGCCCGTGCTCACCCCAGCCGTAAGAGAACCCCACAGTTAAGGTAATTGAAGTTCTGAAAAACACTGCTTTTCCAGAAAACTTTTTATCAGTTGGTATAAAGCAGAATGTAATTCTGAATCTCATGGCATACTCCTTATATATTTAACATGTTTCTAACATCTGAAAAGAAATCATATTCTATTTTCCTGAGTTATGTAAGTGAAAATATGAAACCTGAATCAAAGTAAATTTGTTCTTTTTACTCCTTAAAATTGTCTATAGAACCCACTTGTTTCTAAAGAATGATTCAAGGTATCTTATAATCTAGGACATAGATCTACAAATGTTAATAAGATAAAAATAGAAAATTAAGGCCCTGAAATTGATAACAAAGCATCCATGCCATGATGGAGCAGTCAATTTGACTAATTTGCTTTTGAGCTTCTAGGCAACCAGGAGATTTTAGTTGTTTTTTCTTAAGCCTTTAAATATAGAAGTTAATCTTCATTAAGAAAACTATTTCGTGTAATTATATTTCTTCCTAATATATTCTAACTCTTTTTTTCCTTTTATTTCATTGTTTATTAGAAAAGCCAGTTCAACAAATTATGAAATCACAGAAAATGAGGAGCAACAGTCACTGAGTATTAAATAAGACTGAATTTATAGTACAATTCTATGAGTTATCTAGGCAATGAATATATGAATGTGCTTACAAGACTACAAAGGTCTTGTATGTATATGAAGAAAAGGTTTTTGTTGTAAATATTCTGTGTAATATGATTCAGACTTTTTAGGTAGAATTAACTTTTTTCAGATATATTTTACAAGAAACCTACAGACATCGGAGGCTTTTTTTTTTTTTTTTTTTTTTTTTTGGCAGGAGGAATCATTTCCTGATCATGTTCTTGTAAAGCATACTGCCATTTGAAGGGCATTTAGGTCCTGCTGCAGTGTTTCATAAATATGGTATTTTGCACAGGCTGTTTTGAATTACTGACCAGACTTTTTAAAAAAATTGAACTCTGAAGAATAGATGGAAAATTCCTTTTGAAAGCAAAGAATACCTTCATTCTTTTCCTTAGGTAGCATAAATCACTTTTGATTATGAAATGGCAAGTCATTATGAGATATTTGTGAAATCAGCTTTACTGTTAGCTCATGAAATAGGTAGAAATGGGTCATATATTTAATTAATTAACTGTACAATGGAGACTTTTGGTTTTTATTTTCTGTGTGGCTGCATAAAAATGTCATGCAATGCTAGAAGTATTTCTTCTAGTTTTTATAAGTAAAATATATAAATAATTTTATTTGACTGGTTAATCCTAAACTACCATTATTATGGAAATCGGATTGTGTGTGTGTGTGTGTGTGTGTGTGTGTCTACATATATGTTGGATTAGTAATTATTTATCTAGCAATTACAAAAAGCATATACAAACTAAAATTAAACCTTTGTAAAGGCCATTATTGATTATTTTTGTATTCCAGTAGCCTCCAAATGTCACGTAACCAAGCCATATATACAATTTATATATGTGTCATATATTATTAATGTATAATATGTATTATATATAATAAATTTGAGGCAAAAGTGTCATAAAAGATCCTCAAACTTGCATTTTTCTTATCGCTTCAAACTTTTCATCTTCTGTTTCTTCACCCCTGAATTTAAAAGAAAAAAAGAAGAAACAAACTAAGATCTGTTCAATTTAGTTATATACCAAAATAATAATTAAAAAGATCTTTGGGTCCCTATTAAAACTCAAGAAAGATGAAAACAAAGAAATAAGTCTGTGAGTAAGATAAATAATACAGCATATTTTCCATATATTTAATATTAAACATTTCTGAAACTATAGGCTTCTTGATTGGAGCTTTGTCTTTTCTTCTCATTTCCCACTTGCTAGGAGAACATGTTGCCAATCTTGTAATTTTTTTTTTGACAGCTTACACATGATTGAGGAGAATTGTTTTGTCCTCGAATTTTAACCTATCATGCATATATATGGATAATAGCAAATTTTTCTTTTCATCTAGCTTCTCTTTTGCTTAGTGTAATTTCTGGGATCTCTTGAATTTCTTGAACAGAATCCTAATAATGTAAAATAAACATTTTTTTAAAAGCACCCCTAAAACACTATTACAGAGCTCACCATCCCTAAAAATAATGGTATTGTGGGTCACCTAACCTAGAAACTCAAAGAGTGTCTTGTATGCTTTTTATTTGGTTTTGATCTCTGAAGCTCCAGTGTCTAACTGAATTTTTCTATTCGTATGTATGCTTATTATAAGAGATATGAATGAATGTGCCTACCAAGCAGAAACATTATTTTGTTTAACATGATTTCCTTTTCTTTCTTTCCAACAGACTTGATGTCACAACAATTTTAATATGCACTGAGAACATGTTATGGTCAGTTTGTACATCTGTACAAAAACTTTTGAATCCTCATGAGCATACAGATAATACAATTTTTAAAATTCATACCCATTGTAATAATCTGTTTACAACATTAGTCATTTTGACTTCACCATTAACAGAATTATATAAGTAAGTATCAAATGGATTTTCCTTTTACCTATTATGATATACAATAATGTGATTAACAAAGTTATTTTCAAACACTTATTGAATAACGTGAAATTACAAGTAGAAATCTTTTGAAGTGCATTTTTGAGACTGTGAACTAGGCCATTTATTAAAACTAACACCAACCAACAGGGGTTTCATAATTCTCAATGCAACTCAGTGCCCAAAAATGTGTTATGTCTCTATTGGTCAATCCCATTCAGCTGATAAAGTTCTGATACAATCAGGAACATTTTTAGCTTCACAATTTGGGTTGTTTAAATGATCAAATTATATTGACGGCCTAATTATCACAGTGATTTTTTGATATTCTATGAAAAAGAAAACTATATTTGAGATGTACCTCAACTAGTAATGGCAAATGGAAATAGAGTTAATAATTACATTTTTTAAATGTGGAAATATTTTACTTAGCTCAACAAATAAGATTTAGAGAAATCTAGAAACATTTAATTACTTTTGATTTCTTGTTAATTCATATCTGTAATGTTACAGAGGAGGTTAGAAGAGTCTAATAATAAAACATTAATACCATTTTGTTTATAACCTCCTCCACTTTCATTTTTTAACTACATAATTGTATCTTCATGGGTAGTAAAAATTTTACATATGTCTATTTCTAAGGATAAATCAGGTCAAGTGTTTCTTTGCAAAACATTCTGGTAAAAGCAATATACAAATCTTAATTTTCCATAAATGTTGAGACATTTGTATTTGATATCCCTAAGGTAATTAACTGCTTTGATTTCAGCTTCCATGTAATTTTTACCTACTCTGACTTTCAATAAGCCCATTGTTTACAGAGTGTTCCTTCTAGCAACCCAAGTTGAGAGCTACTTTTAGAAATGGAGAATTCTTTCAGAAAGGGAAAGAAACAGTGAGATAAATTGCCATACGGTTGATATTATGTACATAATGGTTCATAATCATAAAAAGCTCAAGTCTGAAGCCCATAATAAATCCTAGAAAACTAAACTGATTTACCATAGATGAAAAAATTGCTATACTCTTAGTTCAATGCGTCATTTCACCTAAGAGGAAGGCCCTGTGAAAATCAGGAACAAAGTTGACAAATTTCATGGATTGGTCATGGTGAGCAATATTGAATTTCATGCTTTGTCACAGATGAATTGAAAAATTTTAGCCCCCCCAATGCATTTGTAAAACAAATAAATTATTATCAAAGAGTGCATATTTTAATAATAATGTAACATACATTCATTATTGTTAACCTATGGCTTTTTGATACATTTTTTAACAACTATGCAAGTACTCAAATCTCTATGATTTGTGCATTAGATATTGCACTGTAACCTCATTCAGCAAATTTAAATTGCTAATTTCAACCAGGATTACAGAACATTTTACGCTAAGCACTGCCTCTGGTTTATCTTAATATAAAACATAGATAGCCATATTGCTTTGAAGCATGAACAAAAACCTAAATATATTTTAATTCTTTTTAAATATTTCTTAGTTCAAAAAATTTCAAAAGTTGTATCCATTTATGTTTGTTTAAATGTCATGATTGTTTTCTTAGACTATAAATCTAATCTTTGAAATATACTTTGCTTTGTATTGACAAAGGAAATCTACAGGGCAGCATGTTCTTTGCCAACTAGAGAAAAATATATTTGTGTGTTGCAAAAACGCTGTTGACTTATTGAGTTTTTTTGCACATCCAAGATAAGAATCTGTCATACTATTAGCATGTTAGAAAAAACTGTTTATCTCACATTAAAAAATTAAATCACATTCTTTGAGGAATTGGTGAAAAGCAGCCATCAAATATTAATAGTATTGAATTTTTATAAACTGTACCTGTTATTTGTCACTGTGTGTAATATGCCCTTTTAGAAGGTGACTGCCTTTATTTCAAGTAGTTCTAACAGAAAAACTAAATGTGTTTTCCTTTCTGAGCTTAGCATAGGACCACCAAATCCCTGGATAGGAGTACATGATTGTAAAGTCTTTTCAGGAAAAATGAAACCTGTTTGCAAAAATATGTGTTCTTTTTTAACTCGCCTTTATAGATTTCTGTTAGAATGTTGTAAAAGGAGTACTTCAGCTTTGTTCTCCAGGGAAAGGAACCTGCTGAAACAGAAAATATTCACCGTGTATTTTCCGAAGTGCTTATCACTTATAATTATTTCATAAAGGCTGTTAAACTGCAGGTTGAGAAGCATATTCACATACATGTTCATACACATACCCACACAGTGGTTTCATATGTTGCATTTTGAGTGCATAGACTTTAGTTTTAGTTCATGTATACCAGATTAAAAATTAATTACTAGAATATTGCGTAAAGGTAATTTAGTTTCAATTCAATAATTGTTGTTGCCTCTCTAGTCCCTATAGTTAAAGACAAGGGATATAACAATGAGCAAGATGTAGTATCTGTCACAAGTAATTTAAGAACAGCCGATGAAATTTTTTGTTTTAAATTGAAATAATATTGTCCTCCCTAAATCTACAATAAAAGGTAGAATTAAATAATAAATTTCATATCTATATCTAATTTCTATATCTTCATTTACCCAAATGTTTTGATATATTATATCAAAAGTCCTAATAGTAGAAACTTCCTGAAAGCATGCTATCTCAACATTTAATAAGATGGAAGTGTGGGATTTCAATACAACTGTCAACAAACCGTGCGAAGGCTAGAGTCTTCAGAAATACGCCAGAAGGCGGATCACTAAGCCAAGGAATAGCAGCCTCATCTTGGGGTCCATTTGTTGTCACTCATAGGCTTTTTAATCACCAAATTCCAATGCTCTGTTTATAGTTCTGTTTCAAACTAATGTTATGCCTTTTGAGGTTATGGCCTTATCCTTTTTTTAAAAAAGAAACTATTTCACTCTTTCTCAGAAAACAAAATAGGCCTTTGCTTTTCTACCTCAGGAGTGGTGGCACACCTTGGAAAATAGGCAGGTCCTCAAAATGTTAAGCATAGAATATGCTTATGTGAAATGTTGAGCATATCATCATATGCCCCAACAATGAATATATTATGTCCACACGAAAATTTGTGTGGGAGTGTTCAAAATGTTATGTCCATACAAAAATTTGTATAGTAGCATTTTTCAAAATAACACAATGTGGAAGCAGCCAAATGTCCATCAACAAGTCAATGGATACATAAAATGTGGCATATCCATATAGTGGAATATTATTCAGCAATAAAGAGGAATAAAGTGCTGATTCATGCTGCCACAGGGATGAACCTCAAAAACATGCTAAATGAAAAAAGCCAGACACAAGAGCCCACATATCATTTGATTCTATTTATTAGAAATGTCCAGAATAGGCAAATCCATAGAGACAGAGTAGATCAATGATTACCAGAAGCTGAGGGGAGGAGGGAATGGGGAGTGACTGCAAATGGATACAGGGTTTCATTTGAGAATAAAATATTCTAAAATTAGATACTTATGAAGGTTATGCAGTTCCATGAATATAGTATAAGCCATCTAATTGTATACTCTAAATGGGGAAATCTTTTGGCATATTAATTATATATCTCAACAAAGTTGTGAAAACAAATGGAAATTGAAATATATTTAAAATGTTTTTTTTTTTAAAAAGACATCTGGCAGAATGCAAAATTTTCCAGAAAGTAAAGTTTCTTGTCTTAGCCATTTTGTTTAAGTTCAGTGACTCCCTTTATCCACCTTCCTCTAAACATTATTTTTAAAGGGAAATCTCATTTTTAAAAAAATACAAAATTCAACAGCTTTATGTGTCATCCTAATAAGGTTAAAATACTCAAAAAGAGCCAATCATTAATTTAGAAAAGGGCTGCTCCTAGAACATTCGACTGGCTGGCTCCTGGTGTACCCCGAGGTCTGGTCTTTCTCTCTCTCCATCTCATGTTCTTTTCTGAGCCTGCCCTTTGGCTGTCTACCACCCACAACTGTTCTTCATAGATGGCCCTCCTTTTAAGTAAGGAAGGTTTGGTAATACCTTTCATTCATACTTTCTTTCTTTTACCATGTATTTACCATGTACCTACTATGGGCCTAGCATTGTACCAGTCATTCTCTAACCTCGAATTATCATTTGCTGACCTCAAATAGTTATCTTCATCATGAGAAATTCAAGGCATTTAAATGTCATTTAATGACATTTAGGCAACAACTTATAGTCTCCGGTATAATGCTGGATTTTGAAAGCAAAGCAGCGACTTAGAATTCTTTTTAAAATCTTGAATTTGGTATTCACAGATAATTTTCTGTGATTCTAGGGCCATCAGAAAGGTTCACATGTCCTCAGTTATCTCAAGCTTTCCAGTGTTATCTTAGTCATTCAGTTTCACACTATCTCTGCCCTTTCTAAGGTTGTGATCTTCTCTTGGTATTATTTACTGAATGCCTCCAATGGCCCAGGCACTATGGTAGGCACAGATGACTCAAGAAGTGTAACCTGACCCTCCACTCACATAGAACTTACATACTTGGGCTACCTTAATTCAGTCATGGAGGTTTATTCCATTAGCATCATATTATGAGACCCATTTCTCCTGGGAGGACAGCCAAAAGCAACATGGCACAAGAGAAGCATAAAACCCAGCTAACTCTTTTTAGTTCATCAGCTGTTCTCACTTTTGATGTGCATTGGGTTTTATCTCCTTTCAGCATCTGGCTACATAAGCCTAAAGAGCTGATCAGTTTTGTTAAAGAAAAAAAAATGAATGCCGGCAACATAGGTGTAGATCAGAGAACCCAGAGAGAGTGAATCTAGGACAGAGTGCTGGCATGGTCAGCACAGAGGCTGTATGTTGCTAATGCTAAGAAGAGGCATGGTTAGTTGAGGTTGGAGGAAGGGCAAAGGCAAGGAATTTTCCAAAATTCACTCTTTTCCCCTTAAGCAAAGTCATCTTTCCAGTGTGTTCATTTGGGAATGTGAAGAAATGTATCCTGTTTCAAACTTACAGACATTTATTTTTAAGAAAGTATTTAAATTTGCTGTATCAAAATTCTTTTATGTCTCGTGAAAAATATAATTCTATGGCTCATACAGTTGTATTTTACTCTCCGCTATGAATTATTTAGAGCATCCTGTCTTTTAACTGTATACCAAAACATCATTAGAGGTTATCTAATAGCTAGCTCATAATTTCATTCTCCCATTGAGGCTTGTGGGCCAATTTTCACCCTGTTATACTCTCTAGAATAATGAAACTAATTTGGGATCTTGCTGTGGAATTAAATGCTCATACAGATCTCACTCCCTTTGAGACCATAAACATCTGCCATAATATCTCTTATAGCCACATAACCTTACTATAACCAGTATGACTGAGAAACTGTCAGTGGGGTAAAAGAGTTTAGGTACTGGCAGAAATGCTCAGATAAATACCATATTGCCAGTGGTTTGTCGTCTAAGAAATTTGGGTACTAAATCACCATGCTATTATTATTAGATCCTCCATTATTTTGTCTAGTTGTGAGGATAAAACTGTAGCTAGGCAACCATTTAGACTATCAGGAATTTCATGTCCATTTTGAAATGGCCATAGACTTTTTAAGGATCAATTTCTAACTGTTGTTATTATAATGATATCTTATTTATATAGAGCACTTATTGTGTACAAGGCATTTTGCTAAATCCTTTAAATTCATTATTCCACTTAATCTTCACACTGACCCTGTGAGGTGATTTACTATTTTAATCCCCATTTTACAAATGAGAAAACTGAGGGTAAATATATTGCCACTAGCATTGCCTGTTAATAAAAGCACATTCAGGATATAAGTCCAGGCCCTCTGGCTTCGGTTCCTGCATGTGCCCATACACCACTTCTATATAACCTTTGATGACCTTACCCTTGGGGTATGGAGCAGATAAAAAAGTAATGGAAAGGAGTTGGAGGCAGAGTTAAATTCTATAAAGAAACAGACCAAAATTAGGGCATAGAGAGGGGATGAGGTTGTAAAAGGGGTTATAGTTTAGACAGGGTAGTGAGAGAAGACTTAGTAGAGAAGCTTTGGAGGTAGAGCAATCAATGGAGCTACCTGAACACAACAGTGAAGTATTCATTCTTAGAGAAATGAGGTGGCCCTCAGATAACCAGACAAATAGGGATTTTATGCAAAGGGATTAAAGTGGAAGGGAAAGTAGGCGTAGGCTATGAGAAAGGCTACAAAGATATGTAGTATCTTTGTCCACATTCTCCAGTTCCCCTGCTGTCTCATCAAGCGTTCTACGTCTTGTCCCATCCTTCTCTCGGAGTCTTTCTCTTCCTTTGAGACTGCCTTTCTCTCCAGACCGCTTGCTGCGTCCCCTGTCACACTGTACTGGCACCCTCCTTTTCCTTGCTCTCCGGCAGTTGCATGGTCCTCCTCATACCCTCACTCTCTTGGGCTCTATCCAGACTCTGGTACATTTTTAGAGACTATCACTCACTTCTCCTTTTATACCCTTTGACAATCCCACTCTTTGTCCAATCTTGGACAACTCCTTCTTTCACCCTTCTCCACTTTAATCAAGCCCCTGATCTTGCCCTATTTGTTTGTTAGCAGACCGCCTTGCCCCTATACTTCTCCAAGAAAATCCACACCATCATGAATGCACTTTAACTTCTCATCTCTGTTCCTAATAATAATTTTTCTCCCCACTCACCTCTACATCCTTTGATTACTGTCTGATCAATATATCTCTTTTCCCAATTAAAGGAAATCTTTGTACCTGACTCTTGATAACATTTACCTCCTACTCATGGCGTTTTAAATATTCTTTCTATCTTGTCTTGTGGCTCCTTCCCCAAAACATTTCCTGGGTTAAAAAATGTTCCTCCATTACTATTGTGTTTTCCTTCTAAAACAGTTTTCATTCATTGTCTACTTTTATACCTACCACTCACTCGGTGCATTGCAATTGGACTTCTACCCTCAGCATGCTAAACTAACATGGGCAGAGTCATCCATACACACCCAATTGCTAACTCCAATGGATGCAGTCATTTTCTTTTCTCTTGGCTTCTCTAACTTCTTTTTTGGGGGGTAAGTTCATCCATATGGCTATACCATTATGTGATGACTTCCACATTGATATCTTCAAACCAGACAGCTCTTGTATGTGCTGTATTAGTAAATCCAAATTCCTGTTGGATGCCTTGTACTTCAGATGTCTGTAGCCCCCTTAACATATCTAAAACTAAGTAAAATACTTGCAGTGTATCCTAAGCTGCTTTCTTTTCCTTAATTTTCTCCTTCTATCTCTCCACTTATACCATCGCCAGCCCCATGTCATTAGGAGATGAATAGTGTTTGTTCCGTTAATTTAACATGTTTTATATTTGTCTCGTACTTTCTATCTCCTATCTCTTACCTTGGTTCAGCGTCTTATCCTCTCTGACCTGTCTACTACAATATCATCTTCATTATCTCCCTCCCTCCTGCCTGACTTTTTCCAGTCTGTTCTCCTTACTACTGCTGAAGTGATTTTTCTAGGATACAAAACTGCTGGTGTTAATCCCATACTATAAACTCTTCAGTGATTCTTTATTGCTGGTACTAAGTCCAAACTCCTTAGAAAAATGTATGTTTGTACCTGGTCTGGCTTCTGCTTACTTCTCTAGCTCAGGCAGTGGAATGCATGGAATGGAAATATTACAGCCTGACTTTGAAGCCTATTTAAGGAATGTTTGTTTTGATCTGAGATTTAGTGAGAAAAAAAAGCCTTTTAAAGAAGAGATGATATATTAAAAGTCTAAAAAAGGTCCAAGTCTATTTAACTAGAAGATGTTCTATTTAGCAAGACAACCAGGGGGATAGAAATGTCAAATTTGGAAAACATGAGGATACAAGTAGCAAGATGTGGAGTGAAAAGATAAGAGTGGATTTTCAAAATGAAATTCTGTTCTGCATATCAGAAGATAATATTGCTTCTGTACCGTATATAAAGAGAAATGATACCATTTCAAAAACTCCATTTCTAAAATGTTCCCAGTCATTATCTTAATTCTATATAGGAAAATATAATCTCCTGTTGTTATAAATTTTTTGCTAGCCAAGTTATCTGCTGAAGATTTTATGTGACAAATCCTTTTCTACTGTGTCAAGATTTAGAGTTGAATTTGAGCCAACCTAGTAAAATGTTACAGTAATTGTTGATTGTTGTAGATCAGATATTCTGGTTAAATTATTTTAATTTTGAAATTATAAGCCCTCTCTATACCCTTAGGAGCATACAAAATTAATTATAAATTCGAATTAATTATTGAGTACTTATAAATCACTTTAAAGGTTAAAAAGAGGTACCATCATGCAAAAAATTTTTTACATTAATGAAGCAAATATGACAAAATATTGGCATTTATTGGATCCATGTTGAAGAAGATAGCAATGGGATATAAAAATAATGTTCATGGGAAACATAGGTTGTATTCATTGTGCTATTCTTTATCCTTTTTTCATGACAAATTGTATAAAATGAGATTTTTAAAAATTAAATGATAATGGTATTGTTACACCTTCCTCAAGTGTAAGGATTGTTTCACAGAGGTTCATAAAAATTCTAACTTTCAACTTGTGGTTTTTCCTGGCTGTGCTGACTTGCCCACCTAGCTCCTGAGTCACCTATTAACATAAATTGAAGCAGATGAAGTAGGGGCATTGTCCATTCTTGCACAATACCATTTTGTGTAAAAATTATTAACTGAATCCTAAGTAAAACTCAAAGGTTATTTCAATGGTCATAGTTAATGTTTCCTGTATATTCTACACTAATTATTTGTATTTCTTTAGGACTTTTCAGCATGGCCTGGATGAGTCTGCTTCAGATTCCTTAAAATCATTTTTTAAGCAACCATTATACTGGGTTTCTTGCATATCACATTTCTACCCTTCTTTACTCAGGTGAGAGCCTCTAAATGCCATACTATCTATATTTCCACGATTCCTTTTCAAATTTAATAGAAATTTTTATCTGTGGATGTAAATGAATTTACATCTTACAAAAAGAACTTATAACTTTTCACAACTGGCAGGTAAGTAAAGAGTATTTTTTCTCTTAGCTCAAGAATCCAAGGCATGGGCCTCATAATTATTCTACTAGCTTATAACTTTTGTAACATAATGGAAAACTGTAAATTTTTGGAATTTAGTTCTATTTTAAAACTTGTCTTTCTTGATCTGTGACTGGGGATTTGACAATTCTCAAGCTAATTATCAAACATAGGCATGTAACTAACTCAAAGCCTTAGGTAGAAGTTGAGAGAGAAGTAACTTTTTAAATTATGAGTAGTATCTTTCACTTTTATTATTTAATTAACAGCACTTAAAAACAAGAAAAATCATTTAAAGTATGAAATGTGCTTCCAGAGTAATCTGATGGCATTTTGTGGCATTATGTGAAATGGCACTTTGATTTCTTGCTAAATATATCATTGGAAAGTACCTCTCCTTGGTATCCGAGAATAAAAATATCATGTATAGCTAAAGGAGATATTGTTAATCCCCATATATCCTTGATTCATTTTGGAAATACACTATCAGTTATTTCACCATATAAGCTGACTATATCTCTCTCTTGAAAAACAAGATTGTCACCTATAAGTAGAGGGTGTGAAAGCCTCATATACAAAAGTTTCCCTAGACACAAACTTATACTGTTTGCCTAATGTGTGCCTATTTCCATATGGGTGATGAAAAATCCAAAATTAATGAGACAAAGACTCCATCTTTAAGGACTTCAATGTATTTTTTTTTCTTTGGTTGTTTTGTTTTGTTTTTGAGATGGAGTTTTGCTATGATTGCCCAGGCTGGAGTGCAAAGGCGAGACCTCCACTCACCGCAGCTTCCGCCTCCCAGGTTCAAGTGATTCTTCTGCCTCAGCTTCCTGAGTTAGCTGGGATTACAGGTGTGTGCCATCGCACCTGGCTAATTTTGTATTTTTAGTAGAGACTGGGTTTCTCTATGTTGGTCAGGCTGGTCTCCAACTCCTGACCTCAGGTGATCTGCCCGCCTCAGCCTCCCAAAGTGCTGGGATTACAGGCATGAGCCACCGCGCCTGACTTAATGTATTGTTATTATTTCATTTACATATAAAACTTTGTCTACGTTTCTGATTAATTCCTTATGACCGAGTCCTAGAAATGGAATATCATTTCTAGGACTCAATGTTCTGTCATCTTGTGTGTAAATATGTCTTGCCATCTTGCACATAAATACATTTTATTTCAGTAGGAATTAATTTAATAAATATAAATAGCCAACTCCCTAATATTCATTGTTGCAAAAATAACAAATGACTGGATCTCTTACAATGAGTCAAGCAAACAAGCTGTGTCATTTGATGAGTTCCTAAATTTATAAACATATCTGTTCTCCATGTTATTATCACATTTGCTTTAACCTATTTTACTGCCCCCTTTTATCTTACATCTGGAACCACTGGAGTTATTCCCTTTTAGGCATAGCTCTGTAAGACTTCCACTTCCAAGCTTGCTCAGATCAACCCAGCTAGAGTCCTGGAAGTCAGCATGAAAATGGGCTTATCTTTCAAACACTAATTCTTATATTTAACTTCTTTGTCTTTTCTGTATCTACAGAAAGCAAAAATGTACATTTCTTTTCTTTCTGCTTCTGTTTAGCAATCTCCACTATTATCCTAACACAAAGACTAGGATATGGGAATGACTATTCAGCTTATAGTGGAAATACAATTTTATGCAAGCTTTCATAAGGGCAGTTTAGTAATATGTATTAAAAACTTAAAAACATTTTTGCCCTTTTATCTAACAATTCTATTTCTAGGAGTCAACTCTAAGCAGTTAATCAGAGAGGCTGGCAAAGTTTTATATATGAAGATATCAATCAGAGCATTATTTATAAAAGAAAAAATGGAAATAAATGTTCTACAGTATAGCATTAAACAATTCAGTTATGGGATAGTGGCATAGACTACCGTGGAGTGATTAAAGGGCTGGGTTTTGAAAAATAATGACATAGGGAAATAATTATGGTAGACAGGAGGAAAATTCAGGTTAGTAATTATGAAATTACCAAAGCCAACCCAGTTTTTAGAGTGATAAGTGTGTACCAGACACAGTGCTAAGTGCTTTGCGTACATTATCTTTAAAACCTCACACTAGTTCTGTGAGGTAAGTACTCGGGTGCTTCTTTTATGGAGAGCAAAGTGCTGTGTAGGTGGCAACATTCTGGAGGGAACAAAATTGGAAGCCAGGCTGAACCCAGGCCTGTTCCATTCTAAAGCTTAAGCTCTTGACAACCACATTTCCACTTTTCAAAGGGAAGAGCAGTTCAGGGTGATGTTAACAGGTGTACATGAAAAATCATTCTCCTGCACAAATAAGATTGTTAGTTACTAATTATGTAAAGTCTTTTTTGTGATTTAACTTTGTAGGGCCTCTGATGTGCTAGTATATAGTGTTTAGCTCTGCTATGGTCGGAATGAGTCCTCCAAAATTCATGTGTTGGAAATAAAATCCCAATGCAACTGTGTTGAGTGGTGGGTTCAATGGAAGTTATTTATGTCATGTGGGTTTTGCCCTCTTAAACGGATTAATATTACTATAAAAAAGGCTTACAGGAATGGGTTCATTTCATCTTGCTTTTCTTCTGCCATGTGAGGTCACAGCAAGATGGCCTCACCAGATGCTAGTGCCTTGATCTTGTACTTCCCAGCCTCCAGAACTGTGAAAAATAAATCTTTCTTCTTTGTAAATTACCCAGTCTGTGTTATTACATCATGGCAGCACAAAATGGACTAAGACAATCTCCAAAGGAGGCATCAAGTATGCAGATTCCCCAAACTTGCTGGGTGAGATAACTATTGTTTTACAGGAAATTAACAATTATTGGAAAGTAGGACATCATTGGTAAGTGTTGAACTATGCTATACTACCATATTTAGGGCATAAAGAAAGTACGTATAGAAAACTAAATACTGAAAGGATGTAAAGCAGTGGATTTATAGTTTTTATCTCTGGGTGGTAGGATTGCCAGCAATTTTAATTTTCATCTGTATAGTTGTATATATTTTCCAAATTTTTATAATGAGTATAATTTAATTTTATTAATTATGAATACATTTTTAAAAAGCAGAAAGAAAATCTGTTTTCTTTGATTTCTCTTTTATTCACATTGCTTAACCTGTAACCTCTATACAGACGATTTCCAGTTCTGCATCTCTAGTTTTGAGTTTACAACTGCTTTCATTATGTCTCTCTCTCTCTCTTTCTCTCTCTCAGAAATCTATAGTAGCTTCTGCTTCACCCACACTGTCTCTCCTGGCTTACTTGCTTGAGAGTTTTCTGGCTTATTTCCTGGAGAGTTTTCTCTGCTCCAGTTAAGTCAGTCTCCTCTTATGTCTTTAAGACTTAGTTATTCCATATTTTTAATATTTAATTTGTTGCTTATTCTCAGTTTCAGCCCTTTATTAATGCAGTTTCCTTTCTTGGAATACATTTGGTTCTCTCCCTTTTCTTTCTAAAATTTCCACACAAGGTATAGTAGGAGGACTCTCCCCGTTATCACCCCTGCCCATTAAAAGTCATATTTTCAACTAAGTCCATATAATCTGCTTAGAAAGACATGTTCCCTGTGATTTGTAATCCAATGTGCTCAGAGCACTGTACAATCAGAGGAACCCAGGGCAGCAATAAAAGCAGTTTTAAAATAACTAAAGTTATTTATTTGCATTTACCAGACATTACAATGGGGATTCCTAGACCACCATTATGTGAGCTTAAAAATCTCACCTTTCCATTCATTTCCCTCATCTGTATCAGCTGTCTGTATGAGTCTTTCACCCCCAAATTATCCTTCAAAATTCCATTCTTCACTTTAGCAACTAAAATGAACTGTTCAAGAAAATACAGGGGTTGGATAATGACAAATGAAAAATATATTAGGCTTCTCTTTTGGTAAAGAGGAAGGCTGAGAGGAGAGGTGAATGAAGTAGTTAATATCATGAAGGAACTTAACCATGAGATTAATACATTTTCCACATGTCTTAGTTTAATCTAGTATGAAACTGATTATCCTCTCTAATCAACTCACAATGTTAGCCTATACCACTGCTAGGGACAATGAATATAGTACATTTTACTTACTCCTTTGAAAATATATTTATTTTACCTAAAATAAACTCCTCTAAACTCTATTCCCAGGGTTCTAGGAGAACATGAAAAAATGTATTTTTATCCATTTTACTGTTTTCTCTAGTAAGCTTATAGACAAATATATGGTCCATACTGATGTTTCTACATTTTTCACTCTATTTGTAATCTCACTTTTCATGATTACAAATGAATCATTTTTGGTTTTTTCCCTCTACTCACTTTTAATTATCTTAGTTTATATAATATTGCTAAAAGCTGACTTAAATTCTTTCTGAAACAATCTGCAGGTACAAATAAGTAAGCAAATAGATGAATAAATTACTAAGCTCCTTCAAGATATTAAGACATATAGCATGTAATATGAAAATAATGAAACCAAAGATAACTTAATATGTTTAGGGAGGAAAATATATGTATATAAGCCCAAAACAGGATTACATTGAATAGAAGCAGAGTAGAAACAAAAAGCCCAGTGGAAAGAAATATATACAGCTTAAAATGGACTGGCCATAAATCAAAGCATCATGTTGTCACTGTAGAAGAAAATGAGCAGTTAAAACTGTTTACTCACACTGATTGTACTTCTTGGGCTCAGTGTACAGTTATGACCTATTTAGCTAAGGAAGGGATATTTAAAAATATTCTTTTAAAGCAAAATGATAAAAGGCATTATAATGCAACATATTATAATTCACTAGGATAGCATTTTTTCTTGAACATTTCTGTGAAAGCACACTTTGGTGTCTGTCTTAACCTTTTTTCTCTCCTACA